TCAGTATCTAAAGAAACTGTAAGTTGTGCTGTGTCAGTTGGAAAAAAATGACAATAGATTGATCATCACCTCTAAACTGGTTAAGACAGGTAAACCACCAGAGAATTTTAAAAGCAGATGCCTGGAGCTCTGACCAACTAATCACATCCACTGCAGGCTCTATCTGTTTTCCACCCCTCTGTCAACACCCATTTCTTCTTCGCCTTTTATGGTAATGAGATACAGTAAACTTACCCATGTTTACCAAAAAGCGACACAGTTGTTCCACCCACTGGGATGGCTTTCCTTGGACCATACACATCCCAGATTGTAAAACACACTTGAGCATGGCGAGGAATGTCGGGGTATTTGATGGGCAACTTGAGCCACTCATTCCAACTGAGAATAAATGTTTGTAATGTTAACAAGTTTGTATAATATATAAAAAAAAATTACAAAATTCATCCAATTAACATGACTCTTTAAAATAATATTGCAAATTTTTTGCATACATAATAATACTACAATGTCCAAATAACATTAACAATAATACAATTACAAAGTCTAAAATATAAGTTTACAAAATTAATGAATGTTTTAATCCCAAAATCAGTGACACAAAAAAAAGCTTATCATGTTTGAAGATGGTGGATGGTTGTGAAGTAAACCTAAAACTCCCAGAAGTGATGAACATATAACTTCTGCTAATAATATCCTTACATTATTTAGCAAACATGTAATGAGAATACTAGGACTTATCTGGTAGAAGTTGATCTAATGCCAAATTCTCATTTTTGCAGGAAAACACTAGGAATCATGATTGGTTTAACATTTAACTCTGATTGTTTGAGAAGGTGGGGCAAGTTTTCTGGACCGATCATGGTGCAAAGTAAGCACAACCAAAGCAATTGTGTGCAGATTGCCCCTTCACACTCAAAACTGATCTTTTTAAATTGTCTTGGTTATCTACTTTCCCTGGTACTTACTTCCATCTTGTACTGAATGGTTTGTAAGATGTTCTTGTTGGAAGGCATAATGGTTGACCATCAGCAAATACTTGACAAGTTACATATAAATCGGAACACTCGCTAAAATGTAAAATGATTTTGCTACCTTAAGTGCAAATTGTTTAGATTAGAACTGATAATACTATGACTTGACCAATTACATACATTTTTATATGACCATCAAAGCATTAGTTACTTTACCCAGCATTTCTATGATTGAAATTATATTTTATTAACCCATCAATCCTAAGAATGATTGGCATTTTATTTCTCCTATCAGTATCACACCAAAACAAACATTGGCATCATGAGAATAAAGGAAATGATCATCAACTAAAAAAGCTTTGATTGTGAAACAAATTCTCCTTATTAATGCCATGAGAAAGGTACAGAGAAGAGTATAGAGAATATGCATACTGATGGTGGGGTGTACAGGGTTAATTGGGAGGAGGGAGAATGAGGGCTTATAAGAAGCTTGAGGCTATAAATTCATTAACTCCTAGAAGTGATTAACATGTAACTTATCCCATTTAATACCAAGGCTGTGCTCTAGCAGTGCCTGGTGGCCCCTGGTACCTCACTTTTGCTCTTGGGCAACTCGGAAATTTTAGTTTTTTCATACAAAGCATATGCTGGGCACCCTGGATTTCACGGTTTCAGAGCACTGGGCTCCACTCAATTTTCCTTAGAGCACAGCCTTGAATACCTATAATTATATTATCCAGCAAACAGTTAATGGGATTATTCAAACTTATAAAGTAGTTGTTACCTTGATCTAACACGAAATTCTCATTACAAATTTACAAGAAAATGTGTAACAGCTAGAGGGGAGAGTTAACAATCAGATCTTGGAAGTTAAGGGAGATCCAGCAAAGCAATAGAGGGAGGTGGGATAAACAGAAACTTGTCTGAAGCTGTGAATAGGGATGGACAGACAAGTAGGAGAGGGACGGGAGGGAGAGGGGTTTTTAGTCCTTAATGAGGGTGGGGACAAAAAAGAGAGGAATGCTCAATAGAAAATTCAAGCTCTGAATGGGGGAAAGGAGACAAATAACAGAGGTAATAATATACATGAAGAAATAACATGCTTCTGATTGGCTGAAAACAAGTGCATGTTTGTAACACAAGTGCCAATTACAAATAGTGTGCATACCTATTCAAAATTTCATAAGTCTTGACTCTCTATGAAGCTTTTTCCATGTAAATTATTAATAAGTAACAGCACGATTTTTTGTGCAATTTGGTGTAAATCAGCACCTGTAAATTTTTCAAAGACTACAAATTGCACTTGCATAACAGGCTTGTGCAAATTTGTTGTCTATGAAAAATTAATTTGTGCTTATTAACACCAAATTGCACTCAAAATCATGTTATTGCCTACTAACAAGGGTTAATTGAGCATTAAAAAGAAATTAACAAGCACCCCTTGAACTTCCAGCTTTTATCCAGATCTGCAAAAACCTCAAATAATTGACTGGGCTTCATGAACTTAAAAAGATATTTTCAGAAACTTGAGCAACAAAAGTGGTTGCAGTTTTTCTACTATTATTAATCTTCTTACCTTTCATAAGCTCCTGAATATCTCAATTGTGGATCATCTAACAGCTCCTTGTATCCTTTACGTTCTCTCTTTCCTTCTAATGTACATCTAAAATAAAATTTTTCAGGTTAAACAATGTATTCTACACTTCTTTTACAAAATGTTGTAAAATAATAATGGCTATTTTCCAAAACATCATGGCTGTTTTTCTGGATAGCACATAAAAAATCGAAAAATATAATTCCATACTTAGTATCATTAATGAAGTCGAAAAGTAACACATTGAACGTTTTTTTTTTTTAATTCTTAGTGAACTGTTATTTTCGTTTGTATTAAAATTGCACCTTGCGAGATATTTTAAAATCCAAGTACCACTGGACTAGAAGAAACCATCACATTTTAAATAGTAACTTCCCTTTAAGTGATGTCTTACAAAGCAACGCTGTTTGCAGCGATCCTAAGCATTGATGTCTGACAGACGAACTCAGCTGGGAGAGTTGCAAAAGCCAGCTGATCTCACTCTGACAGTCACAGTCTTGCTTCTTTCAGTGAATGAAAAAAAAAACTGTTGATATATCCACGATCCTCC